GAGAGAGAGAGAGAGAGAGAGAGAGAGAGAGAGAGAGAGAGAGAGAGAGAGAGAGAGAGAGAGAGAGAGAGAGTGCTGTACATAGTGGACTGTTTGTGTTGGATTGTTGTTTTTGCTTTGGTTTAGGAAATCTGCCACGAAAGGTGAGTGTCGCTCCATGGGGATTCTATTATGGTGGGCGGTGGGGTTTCTTTGGGAGCCGACACAGATGGGTGGAGTAGTTTAATACCCTGAATCGCGAGGAGGAGGGTGGGTTTGCGGGGTCTTTGACCCCTGCTGCGCCGGTGGCGGGGTATTACTGCTGGTTTATGAGGATATTGGGTTTGGTCACATATTTGGGTTGAGCAATCGTGGGTTTGGTTTCCATCTTTTGTGGCAGGGTTTGGTTTTTGTAGTTATCTGAGTCTTTTTTCGCCGTTTGGGTAATAGTTGTCGTAATTTGATTGCGATTTTTGTGTCGCGTTTTGCATACGATGGAATGAAAGAGAGAGTGCCGTTTCTAGGGGCAGTGGGGTTTCCTTGTGAGAAGGTGCAGATTAGTGGAAGTGGTTTTCCCTACATCGCGAGGAGGCGGGTGGGTTTGCGGGGTCTTTTGACCCCTGCCGCGCGGTAGGTAGGGTTTTTCCGCTGGGACGTTGAATTTGGGTCAGATAGTCATTTCATCTTAATAGGCTGCTGTTTGCTGTCATCTGAATTCTCAAGGAGAAGTGGTGAGCAGTGCTTCACACTGTCAGGGGCTTCGTCATGGAGGGAGGGGAAGCATCCGTAGGGGGTGTATGCAGATTGAGGGAGAGGCTTACCCTAAATCACGAGGAGGGGGGTGGGTGGGTTTTGCGGGGCTTTTTAGCCCCCCTAAATCGTGAGGAGGGGGGTGGGTTTTGCAGGGCTTTTTAGCCCCTGCCGCGCGGGAGGTAGGGTAATCCCCCGGTTAGAGAAAACAGCATCGTGGTGGGAGTTGGTGTTTTGTTAAAAGGAGTGTGGGGAGGTGCTATCCGCTTTGAATCGCGAGGAGGTGGGTGGGTTTGTGGGGTCTCTGCCAGCAGTTTGGGGCCTGTAGGCACAGACCCCTGCCGCGGGTGGCAGGGCGGATTGGCAGGGGTTGGTAAATAACTAGGGATGAATGGTGGACATGATCACGCAGCGCTGACCGCTCGTTTCTCTTTTGTAGTTTGGATTCGTTTTCTTAGGTAGTACCTTTTTGCACATGATTTCTTAATGGTTGGTGGAATTTTATAAATGTTGTTCGTTTAATGGTCGGTGGAATTTAGGTCACTAAATTAGGGTTGACATGACTATTGTGATTAGAGGTTTTAGCGATGAACTTCAGATTTTGTTGATAAATTTCGTTGAATTTTTAGTGGTATGGGCTGTGGAGTTGGCTGTGGAGTTGGCTGCAGGGTGAAATCTAGTGGTATGTGCTTGGCCGGTGATGCTTAGCCCGCCTAGGGCCCCACCTAATTTTTGTGAGGGACGCCGGGCCCGATTGCCGGCTTATATAAATGTTGTGTTTTAAAATAACATAGTTTTTTTTCGGAGCTTTTTTAGTTTTTTTTTTCTTTCTGGGACCGTCTCTGGTCCTTGCACGGGCTGGCCACCCGGGACGGCCCGGCCGGTAGTCTTTTTTTTTTTTTTTTGTACCGTTGCCCTTTTCAAAGAAAGAGAGGAAGGAAGGAAAAA